TACTTCGTCCCTTAGTTTAAACAAAACGGGTTAGTATCTTTCCTCGTGACAACCAGCTGATTTCAGTATGTACAGAAGAGATATTGAATAAACGATTATTTAGAGGCCGAGATTTTATGATTTTGACCACCTCATCGAGAGCCTTCTTATAACTGGGGGATAATTTCTTTACAGCAAGTGCAGAACAGGTTTTGGCGATATTTTTAATAAGCTGTACAGCCCCATTAATTGTGCCACTTATGGTTTTTGCTCTATCTGTACAGATATCAATGCAGTTGTCTCATGGTATTTCATTGTGTTCAAGAAAAGAATTTAGGAGACTAAATATTTCTAGTCCAGGTATGTGTTGGTAGAGATTTGCATAACAGAAGATCCTCGGATAGTGCGTTAACAATTAATATTGCGAGTCCAGCTACATCGGTAGATTCGTCCATTTGTAATGCAAATTTGCATGATTTCAAGCGAAAAGTAAGTTCATTCTTTATATTGGTTGCTAAATTTCTGATGCGCTGAGCTATCGTGTCATTCGCTAGTGGGATCTTACCTATTTCTTCTGCTGATTTTTCATCTGACATACATTTTACCATCTCCATATCCCAAGGTTTTATTAGATTTTCTGCAATTGAGTAGGCTTCACCGCGTTGAGCTATTTGATAACTGACCAAGTAAGAAGCCTCAGTTGCTTTTTCATTAACAGTTAATTACTTTGCAAAATGTACTTACTTTATTTTGTGAGTTGCTCTATTCTGTCAATTTTATCAAACTCTCATCCAAATTTGAAAATTTTGGTAGACATAATCTTTAAGCTCCTGTTTCTTTTAATGATTCGGCTAAGAATTGATCGTAGCACATCAAAATCTCTTTAATTTACATCTACACCCTCCTTCACTTATATAGGTTTCTTCTTCAAAAACGGTCGGATTAGCGGTATTTTATTGGAATAGTTTTCAATGGAGCATTTAATATTGCGCAATCAGTAATGATAATGAATATGTAGGGAAAAAATGTATTAGATCTCATGAATTCATTTTCATTCACGAAATGTATAAAAAGAAGGTCAAAAACCTGGAAGTGTCAGAACCTTTCATAGTGGAGTACAAAAATATTCCAAAACGATGAGACGGAATTCCCGACGGTAAAGCAGAGGTGGTGTGCGAGGTCGATCGTTGCAATCCCGAGAGCGACATCAAGGAGGAGGCCGAGAGACCCACTTTGGAAGTCAGCTGAGCGAGTACGGCCGGTTCACACAGGGCGAAAACGGGAGCAAAATAAAAAGAGATAAGCGCCGCCGCCGCGACGTCGGCGACCGTGCGAGCCGCATCTCCGCAGACGACCTTGACGTCTGCGACGCCTCCTTTCACGGCGTCGCGCTCCCCTTTACCACCCCTTCGCTGCCCCTATCCTACTACGATCCGGTGAATCGAGGAAAGTGAGAGCTGCTTTCGCGCGCAGGACCGCATTCAGATTTATTAGATTTTTTTAAAACTAATCCTTTACTACTGATTTAAGTTAAAAAGGTGGTAAGGAAAATTGCTAATACGGTGAAGACCGGATATAACGAGCATCCAAGGGAGCAGAAGAATCGGTCGTTATAATTAAGGTTGCCAAATATGTAATCTAAACTTAGTAAAATGTAGTCAGAGTGGATACAGTTTATGCATGATTTTACCTTTGTTTGTTATAGGCGATAAAAACATATAAAATTAGTTCGTTATAGCCGATTCTCGTTATAACCGATATTTTTAACATTGTAAAGATAGGATTTTTGACGGGGCCTGAAGGCATGCTCGTTATATAGCGTGTTCGTTATAACCGTGATAATTAACAGAACATAAAAGTAATGTTATTACTTTAATTTCGTTTAGGTGTCAGTTTTTTTTTAAATAATCCAGTTAATTAAATGTTACATATAAAGTGTTGTTGATATAAAATCTGTAGTAGTGGTGTTTAAATCCGGTCCTGAACGTTGAATCAGGGAGGCACGGAGGCGTTTGTGGCAAGCAGCGGTAGCAGAAGCAGAGTAGTAGGCAGGCACACCGAAGCCGAACGAGCACGTGCACGCGCTCCGGTTGTTGTTGACACGCACCGGCGACCACGTGGCCACGCGAATAGCCGTGCGCCCCGCCAGCCCTCCGAAAATCTAGCGCGCTATGAATGAATTAATTCATAGAGAGAGCGCCATGCGATTGTGTCGACGAGGTTGTTTGTATTTCGGTCCGGATTGAAATATTTGATTTTAGTTTATTGGAGGGCGGACCGCATCACCGAAATCCACAGTTTATAAACTGTATGAAACACGTTGATTTTGATACCCGCAAAACTACCATTATACAATTAAATTCACGCTTAACCGTTTATTTATTAATTAACCCGCCAATTTTTACTCATTTTTATTTAAAATCTGTTTTATAATAATTACCTCCGCGCATTATAATTAAGTTTTCGAAATTGTAATCATTAAGACATTAATATTGAACGGACGGGGTCAACTTAGTGCATAAACAAATTTAATATAATTATGCGAAACGTTTATGTAATAATTATTAATTACATTAAGTGGCTTTAGGAAGGAAATAAGAAAAAAACGAGTAAATGGTTTTTGTAATTTTGTCGGGTAGTGGCCGTTCCTCTTGAGTAACTCCACGATTAAGCAACCATCTTGTTAGAAATAATGAAAAAGTATATCTATTAATGTTATTAATGACCGACTCGTCGTGTGCGGACTACTTTTTATCGCAATTTGCTCAGACAAAGAAATTAATTAGATTCAATTTCGAATTTCACACCGCTAGGCACGCCACCGGTACTATATCTCTTACTCATCTTACCGTCATTTTTTATACGCGCAAGAGGTTTCTAAATAGTGTTAATGATAATTATATCGCCTTCTCTAGCCAGATTTCACTTCATTACAATTATATACAGATTAGAGAGCGTAATTACTTTTTTTAATTTAATTTATATCACGAATTTTAATTGAATCGTTTATTTAAGTCATAGCTGAAAAGAAATTTTTAGATTATATAACATTCATTAGGGTATATTTTAACATTTTTAATTGGATTATATTAAATAATTTGATGATTATTACACGTTCAATTTGGACTTATCAATGTAATATATTTTGATGTCGGCTTCATGAAAGACCGTTGACGTTACGCGATGTTCTAATAACACTGCCAATAAACGGATGTACCCATTACCGACAATTAATTTTCTCCCTACTTGAAATGTTCTCATTCGTTTTCCGCACCGCTAGCAATATTTTAACCGAGCCACGATAACTGCATCCTGTTCCGATGTTGTAATTTCAGCTGAGGGCAGCGCTCGACCGGACAAAAACTTATAATTAGGATTGATAAATCTGTGCTAATTAGGGGCATTCGAAGAAGTCTCTGAGCTAATTATTTATGCATCGGTCAGGTTCGGTGAGCATTATCGTTTGATTTATATGGACGATTATTGACGCAATTAGACGTGGTGTGGGCGGGAATACCGGGAAAACTCGATACAATTATATGGTCTAGCTATGTGGTGAAAATCGACGAGTGTGAGAGAAAGAAAGAGAGAGGGAAACAGATCGCCTGGGGGATTATAGAGTTGCCTTCGTGGAAGAAACGAGGAAACCTCGCTTAAAATGTAAACACATGTGCGAGCGAACTCGGCTCCTAGCACGCCCATAAAACGTTTAATTATGCCTGTTAATGTGACGGGAGAAATGATTCAACCGAGTTATAAATACACCTAGCCATGTAGCACGTCCCTTTCTTTTCTCCAACGCAGTCTCTAACCGACCAGTTTTACTGTAGAAATTTTACACATTCTAAAATATATAACCGATTATAACTCATACAAGAAACTACATCATAATAATAAATCAAATGTAATAATTGCTGTTCCATTAACGGCAGTTAAACTTTTTAAATATTTATAACCATAATAATTAGTCATCAATGACAGTATTTATTAAAATATATATTTAATCTAGCATTTTAACGCACAACAATTGATAATAGAATTATTATTGTGCATATTTGTTGATTAAATTTTATTTCAAATTTTAATCATTTCAAAAATTTATTATCATTTATGTTCTTCAAGATACCACCGATAAAAACATATTGCAATAAATTTTAATACTTCTAATTTTTATGATAATTAATTAACTCAAAAACTTGCTAATAATTACTACAACAAAGTCAAATAAACGATCAATTTGGTGTAATTTCGCAATTATTAAATATTATCTTGCATTTTGTTTTATTTATGGACAACAATTAAATTTCAATTATACAACGATTATATATATTATTTTAATGAATCGGTTATTTTAAGCAATAACATTAAATCTTAACATCAATAATAAGATACCAAGAAAGTAATAATTATTTTCATTAACAAACAACAAAATAAGTCCAAAGTTACACAATATATATTCATTCTTATTACGTTAAGAAAATTGCGAAGCTTTGGGACCATTTCGTTGTGTGTTTTAACTAAACGCAATCCGAAAATAGAAATACAATTGAGAGCTCGTGTCAAAATCTGTATTTACGGCTGGAAACCTATTTATCAGTAATAAAACGGCTAAATTACTTACTAAGATTTAACACGGGTAAATTATGTATTGTAACAAGAACAAACATAATAAAACTGTTAAATGAAAACTTGTAAATCATCTTTGATTTTGAACAAGATAGAAATTTGGCGGGAAAAGTTGTTATGTGTATAATAATGTTAACATTCAAATTTGCGCGATTCAATTTAATCTTTATTCCAATTTCTCAAAATTTTGTATGATCTAAGAATCAAATTAAGATTTATTTAAAACCGCTTATATGAGCCCTGAAGATGGCTAATATGTAGCCGAAACCAGTAAGAAACTTCATTTTGCAAAAACACAAATTGCAGTTTCTTTGATTTCTGAGTTCTCGTTGATTTGAAATTTTAGTTTTGTACTTTTCTTAAATATCTAAGAAGGTTTACAATTTAAATCTTACCTGAAGCCGATGTACTCGAAAGATTTTCCTCCTCGTACGGATCTGAAGCCGTCTTGATGGGTGTTGAAGTGAACGTTCAGCAAAGAAAATATAAAGTAGATAGATAAAAGTCCTCGCCCCCACAGTTCACGTTTAAAAGTCGTAAATAATGAACAAAACTCGCGTCAAAAACATCCTTTAATCACAACCGCACCGGACGCCCAAAAGGTAGTTGTAGCAGTAACATCGACAGTTCGTAACTATTTGAGTTTGTAAGTGTTGTGTAGTAGAGAGCGCACGTAAAGTCCGGTACGAAGTTGTAGCCGATTCCGAAATGAACGGAATTAATAAAAAACGTGTCGTGTATCGTACACCGTGTGGTTAACTACGGTGGAATCCCGCGGTAAATCAATCGAACGCTTCAAGTAGGTAGAGAGAGGCGTGCGTCTTGGGCACCATGTGTCATCGGGTACCGTGGAGTCGGCGAGCGAGAACCTGTTAACAAGTGGAGTCGCAGCGCCGCTACTGGCGAACGGCGAGTGGCAGCGCGTCGGATACGAGAACCTACCCCTACCAACCCCGCCGTCGCCCCACCGCGGGCCCCGCGTTCCTCCTGCCTCTCCTGCGGGAGAGGAGAGAACCGGCCGCCGCTTCGGCCGGCCACGCATGAGCAAAGATTGTAATTAGATTCGTAATGTCCAGTTCGTTATTCTGGAGGTGGCCGGGGGTGGGCTGGCGAGGCGGTGGCGGTAACGGGGCGGGAAGAGGTGGACGGGGGGCCCAGGGCGCGCTTGCACACACACGCCCGCTGTGCCCCCCTCGACAGAGACCGACGATCGCGCAACTGTTCCGAACTTCGCGGCGAGCTTCTCCGCCTGGACAAGGTGGGCCTGGATGGGATGGAATGGGATGTGATGGCCGGCTGGGGTGATCGAAGCTATTACGGGGGTCGAAGGGGTTTCCCGTTTGATGTGCTACGATGGAACCCTTTAGTTTTTGACGAATTGGATTTTTGAATTTGTTTTACTAATACAATAATTATAAGATACCAGAATAAAAAACCAAATAATAGTAATATTCTACATGAAACGTCGACGTTCCTTTTGAAATACTTCAAATTTTTATACATACCTATTTCTTAAACATTTATGACATTATTTTACGAAGTTCTTTTGCAAAAGTAAGCTACTGCTTCAGATATAGGGTTTTTGAAATAAACTTCTTTAATGACTTATTACAAAAAGATAGTAAAAATATGAACACCAAATATAGCGAAACTCAACACGAACACTTTTTGAATTAAAATTTAAACAAAACAAAGTACAGTGTAAGAAACATGAAAAATTACCAAGTACTGCTCATTCAGGGTTTTGTAAATCCTCTCCGGGTTTTAATAGATTTATGTACAGAACAGAAAATATGTTCTTATGGCCGGTATGCAATACGGAGGCAATCCCAAAAGAATGAGTACTCTTCTCATCCTTTAATTCACAACAACGGCTTAGGCCTTTAGGGTGTGTATCATCTAGGCCAGCCATACTCAGCCTTTTTTTCCTTAGGGCCACATACCTATGTGTGGCACAAGTTACGCAGGCCGCAACATTATACAGGGCTTCCCACAACTCCCGAGATGGAGCTATAAGTTTTGAACAAGTAATAATAATAATAATAATTATAGACTTTATTAGAATGGCATTTCACAAAATAACAATATAAATGTAACTGGTTGGCAAGGGCGAAGTTAAGACAATCGTCTTCTCTTCCACTCAACCCTGCCATAAAAATAAACAAAATATAATAATAATAAAAAAAAACAAAAAGAAAACAAAATTTAAACTAGGTACAAAAAAAGCTAATAATAATAATAGCGCACCAATTAAAAATAAACGAAAGAAAAAAAAAAATTTTTAGAAATAATAATATAATTGCATCAAAAGCAAACCCCTGTATATGATCACACTGTTCTCCATATAAATATTTTTTGATACTTTGTTACTATTATAACATTTCGGTAAGTTGTAAGAGAATGATCGCTCAAATAATGTAGTCACATGTAGCGGTGGTGTCACAATTCCCTTGCTTCGAACATTTAAGCTATGGACATCAGTGCGGAATTTAATCTTATCATACAAATAAGATGGACATTTAAGCAACAGTAACTTATGAAAAATGAAACCATATGGTATATACGACGGTTACACATATTCAGCCACCCAAGATCGATCAGCCTGTGTGAGACATGGCACCCTCGTCGAAGCCGAAAATCATTCGGAGACATGAATTCTGAACACGCTGAATCCTTTGTGATGTTTTTAAGTTCAGACAACTATGATATACTGTATCACAAAAGTTAAAATGGCTCAGCACTAAGGAATCGCAAAGCATGACCTTTGTGCTGCGATTTAAAATATTCCTCATGCTGTATATGAGCTTCAAAGCAGCAAATGAGATTTTTGTTTTGTTCAGGATGTGCTTTTCAAACCTAAGCTTAGAGTCGAGCTATAATCCTAAATTTCTAGCACACTCCTTAACACCAATACATTCACCACCAATGTTGATTTTAAAGTTTTCTGCAATAGAGTCTCGTGCACTCAGCCTGCCAAAGAGCATAACCACTGATTTATTTGAATTTACCCGTAACGAGTGTTTAGTGGATACATCTGTCAAATTATTGATGTCCTCACTCAATTTAACTTGCGCAGTGGCCATGTCCATAGGCAGGAACGATAGATAAATTTGGGAATCATCCGCATAAAGATGTGACTCTGAATATTTCAAAACTGTAGACAGATTAGAGGTATAGATACAAAATAGTAGAGGCCCCAAGATAGAACCCTGTGGCACTCCTGACTTCAAGCCTCGCAGTTTAGATTTCCGAACACCCAATTTAACGGCTTGTTGTCTATCTGACACATAACTATCAATCATGCTTACAGCAGAATCATTGAACCCAATGAAGGATAAGATAGCTGATAACATTCTATGATTGATAGTATCAAAGGCCCTACTGTAGTCTAGCAAAACTAATCCAGTAAGCCTATTTTGATCCACCGCAAACAATATGTCATCAACTATATGCGTTAATGCTGTATCGCAACTGTAGTTAGCACGAAATCCAGACTGTGTCCTAGGCAAAATATTATGCTTATCGACAAATTCCCGAATTTGGTCATTCATAATTTTTTCTAATACTTTAGACAAAACAGCTAAAATACTAATTGGTCGCAGGTCCGAAAATGTCATAGGATTTTTAATCTTTGGCAAAGGTGTTACCAAAGATTTCTTCCAACATTTTGAAAAGATTGACTTCGATAAGCATATATTAATAATATGTGTGATGTAAGGAATGATGAAGGGACAACAGTAATGTATCATCACAACCGAGAGCTCATCATATCCCACACAGCCAGACTTGATATTCAATAAATGGCCCGCTACAATATGCTCCGAGACAGGCACAAAAGCAAACAATTCATTAAAGGTAGACTTTTTCGTAGTAGTATAAGCCTGAATTAAGTCTGGATCAGCGATCATTGAGTTTACTGCAGATTGTAAAAAGTTATCATTAATAACTTCAACGTCATTCAAATGTTGTGAAGAAAAAAATTTGAAGATTTGGGCATCACTAAAGAGTCATAAAAACTACATTCTTAGATAGTTTAGAACTTCCATGTAATGTGAAGTTTTTTAGGGGATGACCACCTATATTTTTAAATAGCAACCCCGTCGAGTTTTACCTTATTTTAAAGGTAATGAAAAAAGAAATACAACCCCATAAACCAAAACCCGATATCTTTATTCTTTCAAGAATTATGAAGGGTTGACTACCAAATGGGAAAATAAAATGTTTTCATCTTTTTTCGCACCTTGTCGACCTTCTTCGGTCTCGCAACGACCCAAACGCTCATAAATGAAATTTGAGCGATTTTCCAAATCATTTATTCATTCTGGTTTTGTTGCATACACTTTACTTTTCAGAAACCCCAAAAGAAAAAATCGAGTGGTGTTAGATCAGGAGATCGTGGTGGTCACTCAATTTCACTTCTTCTACCAATCCAACGGTTTGGAAACGTGCGGCTAAAAGTCTCAGACTGCGCGACTAAAATGTGGAGGAGCACCATCTTGTTGGAACCACTTATTATCAATACTATTAGGCAAGTGTACGTGCCGTGGTACACTTGGAACTACATGATTTTCTAACAGTTGCAGATATCTGTCTCCGTCCAAATTTCCACTAATAATAATACCCATAAATAATTCTCTCCCATAATACCAGCCCATACATTAATTTTCTGCGGTTTCTGAGTATGATCTTCTCTTATTAAAAGTGAATTTTCGTCACTCCAATAACTACAATTGTGCCTATTAACCTTACCATTCAAGTAGAAAGTAGCCTCATCAGAGAAAACAACACTCAAAAGAAAATTTCTTACATTTTTCGTACATTTTTCACGTACTATTTCACAGAATTCCAACCTTCTTTCGAAGTCGCCTTCGTTCAATTCCTGAACTAGGTGAAACTTATAGGGGAAATAGTTATTTCTTTTCAAACTAGAAGAACTATTATATCGGCTAGAGAAAACATTATTTCAAAAACCATCAAAGGTTTCAAAAATATATTCAAGAGGAGGCGTTATCATGTTAAAACAATAATCAGCAGGAATTGAAAAAAATATAAAGTTTGCAAAAAAATTTGTAAACTCGTTTGGGACATTGTTTTTAAGCTCTTGTGATTTTAAGTCTTAGAAATAACTCCAGAAAATGTTGTGCACAATGAATACTCTTACCAAATCTAACAAATTTTAGATAAGATTTTTATAACGGTTTTGACTTGGTTTGACACTTCTAGTTAGCTTATTTTTGAATATTTTTGATAAATGTAGCAGGGTCTCCTAACGGCACATAGCGAGGCATAGGAGCACCTTCAAAACAGAAAGCTAGATTCATTTCCTTATCGAGTTTGACTATAATGCGAAAAATCCGTTAGCCACATCTTAGAATGAGGAACTTCATAGAGCAATAGCCTAACTTTTCGGAAATCTCTGGAATGCTTGATGCGACTAGCGTGAATCTTTAGAGAAACTAAAAGTGGTCCAATAGCCTAATGGCTGAGATGGCGTGTTCTTTACCAACTTCATCTGACGACTTAGGTCAATAAATCATCTCATTACAAAAAATTTTAGTTAATATGAATTAATAATTCAATGCATATAAAAAACAATATCAAAAATTGTGATAAAATTACAATCAAACATTTTTAATAATATTTCAAGCTCTGAGTAATCCGACCTTACTGATATCATTGAAGTATAAAACGTTTTAGATTATTTTGGAACAAGACATATTACGTTAAAACTTTTTTTTAGTTAAGCTTTATACTCAACTTTTACCCTGTAAAAATCAGGTTAGGTTTATATTCATTTTCTTATACACGTTATTATTAATTCACCGTTGTTACAAAGATAATCCTCATAGGGTCGATAAAGTAATTAATTAATAATAAATTATAAAACCAGTAGCAATTATT